TTAAGAGTAAGCTAAGATGTAAGAAAATCAACTCAAAAGAAAAAGTATCATATTTTAAAAATAAATGAGTATTAAGAGGAATAATATTTGTGTAATAATTATAATGAAGGATCTTATAATTATTAATATTAGATTAACTTGTTAGGAAATATTACAAAGGAATTATTCATAAAATGTAAACATGAACAACAAAATTAAAACAAAATGAGAAATTGAATAATCAATCTAAAGAAATCTGGGAGGCAAAGACAAATTAATCTCAGATTCAATCCCTTCCATAATTGGTACAAAAATGCCATCTGGTTTAAAATAATAAACTTGTATGCATATTACATATTCTACTTGTAAGAGGTAAAAGACAAATAAGGTGAAACTCAGTTAAATATTCTTATCATTACGTTAGCTAAAATAAAGTAAGCTCAGCAGCAATAATAGGAGGAGTTCATAAAAAATTTAATTCTTAAAAATAACTAACTATTATTATCCTAAAAATAGTAAACCATAAGAAATCCTAATTATAAGAATAACAAATAAAATACTTGATTTATTTGTCATAAATAATGATTTTTTATAATAGATAAGAATTCAATAATCACATATGAACTTTCTAATATCAATAATAAAAATTATTGAGAAAATTAAAGATAAATCATTTTTAATTAATTCTGGAGAAATTTTAATTTTAAATTAGCAAAAATAATTTGTTATCCCCAGCATATCTTTCAGAATTTTTTGCATATATATCAAATATCTGAGGTATGATAAAATGAAAATTTTTATTACTAAAACCCTTAGGACTATCATGTACTAAAAATGAGCTAAAAGAGAAGAAATAGGGAAGATGCTATTTGTTTCTAAACAACTAATGGCTGTGTTAAGTAAGAAATAGACCTTAATAAGGAAAGCTAGAATAATTATAATAAGTCTATTAAATATATAGTTTTATTGTAGTAATTAATGATTTAAAGGTAGCGATTGCTTAAGTGTTTGTGATTGATAATTTTTTACCTATTGAGAAATCAATAGGATGTATACAAGGCTTGAGGAATAAAGAATACATAATAAGTGATTTTACTATGAATAATTGAAATGATAAATAAATAAATTATTTTAATTGCTGCCATTCACCAAGATAAGGTAGCCTTTAATAAAGCTTAAGAAAGGCTAATTTAATGATGAACTTTCTTTTATACATGAAAAGAAGTGATTCTAATGATCATTATAATCATTGGATAAGGACCCAATATATGCCAAATTCAATACTCCTAAGCAGTCTATACTGCATTAAATTCCCGATTTTCTAGGTGTCGATAATTACCTAATTTCTATATATCATATTAATATGTAATAAAATATGGCAAATTAAATTCTTTGATTTTTATTTAGAAAAATATTTATATTAGCTTTTAATTTGAGAAAGCAACTATGATTAATATGCTTGGATAACTTTGCTGATATTTGAAAATCAGAATTAAAGATATGCATACAAAGTCTATACGTAAATTAAGTTTTTGATTCAAAAAAATAAGGAAGAAGGTAATATGATATTTGTTTAATATAAATTGGAGTATGTATGAATATAAAAAAAAGAGTATTTCTAAAACAATTATTATCTTAAACCATAAAACAATAAAATAAAGAGTTGAAAGATTAAAATATCCTATAAAAAAAAGTAGAAATTAAATATAATTATGTGTTTATAATGTTTTTAAAAATTATCATATTTCAATTTTAAATTTAAATTTATCTTTCCAATAAACAACTGTCTTAAGATTGTAATAATGGTTTTAAATCTAACCCTTAATGATTGACAAATTTTCCTTTCAAGATAAATGCTCCTTATGCTTAAATAATTACTTATTGAGATATAATAAGAATAGGATAATTTTAAGCTAAATTTAGATTATAAATAAATACTTCGTGGAGGATAGTTTTAAAAGATTGGAGTTTTGAATTATGCTAGAATATCTTTATAACTTTTATTTGAAAATTAAATTTCTTTTCCAGTATTAACATCCCATAAACGGATAGAGTTATCACTACTACCTAATGCTAATGTAGCACCATCAGGAGAGAAGCATACTGACAAGTCCTAATTACTATGACCATCAAATTTGGACTTTTATTATCCTGTCTTAACATCCCATAAACGGATAGACTTGTCTGCACTACCAGATGCTAATGAAGTACCATTAGGAGAGAAGCATACTGACCGAACATAATCACTATGACCATCCAATTCGGACTTTTATTATCCTGTCTTAATATCCCATAAAAGGAGAGAATGATCATAACCACCAGATGCTAATGTAGTTCCATCAGGAGAGAAGCATACTGATTGAACATAACTACTATGACCATCAATTTTGGACTTTTATTATCCTTTCTTAGCATCCCATAAACCGATGGACTTATCTGTACTACCAGATGCTAATGTAGTGCCATCAGGAGAGAAGCTTACTGATACAATTGACTAACGATGACCACGCAATTTGAATTTTTTTTTCCTTGTCTTAATATCCCATAAACAGATAGAATTATCACCACTGCCAGATGCTAATGTAGTACCATCAGTAGAGAAGCATAGTGAGTAGACTGCATAAGTATGACCATCTAATTTGGACTTTTTTTATCCTGTCTTAACATCCCATAAACGGATAGAATGATCATAACTACCAGATGCTAATATAGTTCCATCAGGAGAGAAGCATACTGAGTAGACTGAACTACTATGACCATGCAATTTGGACTTTTATTGTTCTTTCTTAGCATCCCATAAACGGATAGACTTGTCCTGACTACCAGATGCTAATGTAGTACCATCAGGAGAGAAGCAAACTGAGAAGACAATATCAGTATGACCATCTAATTTAGACTTTTATTATCCTGTCTTAACATCCCATAAACGGATAGACTTGTCTGCACTACCAGATGCTAATGTGGTACTATCAGGAGAGAAGCAAAGTGAGAAGACAATATGAGTATGACCATCCATTTTATTATGCTCAAGTATTCTTAAGTTGGTCCATTAACAATTAATTAATAAAGCTCCATTTAAATTGATTCCATTTATGTCTACATTATCTAGTTATGATCCGCTTAAGTTGCACCTAAAAAAATTAGCTCCGAATAAAGAAGTATTCTTAATTCTGATGTTTTCAAAATTTTAATTTCTAATGTCGACTTTCATATTAACTAATAAATTTAGTGAGTTTGATCCACATTGTATTAAATTTTCATCATAGGCTGTGAGGTGAACTAAGAATTTTACAAATCCGATGATCTCTTTTTATTCTCTTATTCTTTTTATTAGATCCTGTCTCTGTCGCAAATATCGTTAATCAGAATAGTCTTATTTATTAAAATCATGATCTTTAATTTTTAAAATGACATTAAGAATTAGTTTGATGTTATTTCTCATAACATCCATCCTTTATTCTTTTTCTTCTTGTGTTGAATCCTCTTTTTGTGAAATCTACTCTTCTAGATGTCTTAGATTTTCATAATCTGAAAGAAATCCCATCCAATCTCTAGTATTCTATTTTTCTTGCATCTAAATTATCAAAGAGTATATTCTTTTATCCACACCTTATACTTAAGCAAAAATCTCAGAGAGATCATCGGGATCATCCATTTTCTTTTTCTTAAAATAATTATTGAATATCAATTACTCGAACTTTTTTTTTATACTACAAACTGAAAAGAAATTATTTGTTTGAGGACCAGAACTTTGAAAGGTTTGGAGTTGCTTGTGATTGATAATTTTATGCCTGTTGAGAAATCAATAAGATGAATACAAGGATTGAGGAAAAAGAATATAGAATAAAGAGTAATATTGCAAAAAATAAAATAAAATAATATTAGATGAAAAATTCTTGATGATGTAGTGTTAGTCATTTATTATTCTGTTGCTTATGTTCTTGTAATTAATAATAATAAACAAATAGATTTGAAAAAATCTGCTTCAGTCCTTTACAATTGTAATAATGTAAAATGGATTGAAATTTAGAGCTACATTTTCTTTTATTTTTTTCAAAAAGAAATCCAACAAAAAGTCCAAGTATTACATTTAATAATTTTATACTTGATCCTTTAGATAATGAGCAAATTGGTAGAATATGCTAAAAAATTTGGGTTAAGTTCAGGGCTTTGCTTTAGGTAGCTCATAATATTTCATTAACACAGTTAAAGCAAAAATATAAGACTTTAAACTAATTCTTCTTTAAAATAGTCACAAATATCTATAAAATTTGTATCAAAATCTTTTGAAAAGAATTTGTAAGATATTAAAATTCCTTCAAAGTAAAAGCTTAACTAACTTAAATATAATTTCTTGTTATTTATCTTATGTTTTTTTACATATCAATATTTAAGTAATATATTCTTTCATAATAATATCCCCATCATCAATTTTCTTAGTTATATTTGATAACATGATAATAAAATAATTAATGTTTTTATTTAATAATATGTATTTTATATTCTTTATTCTATAAAATAAAAACTAAAATAAATTGGGATGGTTAATCAGTTTCTGCAGAGCTCATTCACCATTTTCAAAAGCAGATATTTTGAATAATTAATTTATTATTTTGATCTACTTTTAGATTAGAGATTTTTAGGGATATCTTAAAATCTTTAAATAAGCCTAAGCAATCTAAATTCTAAATTATTATATGTTAACTTTTTGATAACAATAACATCAAGAGTTTATTATTATGAGATATAATTATAGCGTTTCGAATAAATTAATAACAACTTACATAAAAAAATTATGCAAATCCATTTTGTATATTTTTGAAATTTTAATCATAATTATGTCGTCTTTTTTTTCTCATGTCAATTTCAATTTCAAAATAAAAAGGTCATGGCTATAGATTACTTATAATTGTATTATATTGAAGAGTTTTAAATAGTAATAGCCAGAATGTTAGTTGTTAAAGCGGAAAATTAAAAATGGGTTTGATATTTAGAAAGTATTTTCAATTACTTAAAGGTTTTCTATTAAACAAGGGATTTGTAACTAAAACAGTTTCTGGAAAATAATCACAAACTAAAAATTAAATTAACTTATTTTTTTCTCCGGGCAGG